TCACTGCATCACCCAAACAGCATTTAAGMTACTCCAGTGTTTATTTTACAGAATAACAGAATATGTATCAGCTGCCAGCAAATGATCATGTATTTCCTGGATCAGAGGCTAAAGATGAAATAAGATCTATTAATTCACCTGTACAAATCCAAGCTACCAGGGAATGACTGCCCTTCCTGCAGACTACAGARGGGAACTGAGCAGCAGAGAAACTCCAGCAGAGGACCTGACCTGGCAGACTAAAGAGCTTTGTTTCCAAAACCTCCACCCTAATCCCCAGGCACAACTGAGCCAGGAAAGATGTGAGTCGAGTCACCAGCCCTGCAGAACATTTTCCCCAGCTCTATATGAGCATTACACAACACCACRCAACAATGCTACCACCACTTTTCATGGAAGATTATTTAGTTCCATTCCAAGCAGCTTTTCTTGATGTTCAAGTTACCTTCTCTTTGCCAGCCCATTATGTCTAATCACACTCTCTTGCAAGACCTAAGCGATTATCTCTCTTGTGTAATCATACCTGAAATCAATGGGGTCTTTTTGTTTCTTAGATAATCTATATTAATTATTTTTAATCAGTCCCTTTGCTCTACTAATCAGCTCTTTCCCCTCTCTCAGAAACTTTCCAAGGGCAAGTGCCCTCTATTTATGCCAGTGAGCCAAAGGCATCCACAGTGCATGTGTAAAGGCWGTTATTCTTCCATTCATAACTGGGATATCACAGACCACTGTGCTGTCTTGTACCACTGCTGCACTGGAGCTGCCACAGCCAAGCACCGGCACTTGATCTGTTCCATCTCTGTGACTGCAGGTGTTCTTTCACACCCAATACACACATTAACCTAGCACTCATTTTCTTCTCCCTTTCCAACCCTCAGTCTCCTCAGATTGTTCTGCATCGTTTGTCTGTCTGCACAGGGACAGTTTATTGCCAATAACTGCAGGCACCCAAGTCTGACACACGAGAAGGTAAAACCTACCAAATTCTTCTGAAGCCTTTMACGGTAGCTTTCACATTCTTTCCCCAGGAAAAAGGGCTTCTACATCACACTGCTCCTGAGCAGAAACATGGTTTATGCTTGTACAGGAAATGCATCACCACATTACCCAAAAAAGCTGTTGCTTTGTCTGCTCACACAAACARCATAAAGGTATCTCCGTGCAGATACCCAATACCTTTGGGATCACAACTGTGCCCCAGAGCACTCATCAGCCTCACAAGCAGACTGAATTTCAGCCTGAGCAACACAAAGGAGTATACTGTGGCTATGTGATGGGCAGAAATGGATTTGGGCTTTACAGTCTCTGTGAGTTTTCAAACAGTTGTTGGATTAATGWGTAAAAAGTAAACATCTTTCAAGTGAAAATATCTCAGAATAAAACTGACACCCCATTTGTTTGCAGCAGTCTTAGTTTCAGATCCATGATCATTAAAAGAAACAATCTTCAACTCAATTGTGTGAGCAGAGGAATGCCCAGCACCACTGTGTGGCATTTTCAGTTAGCTGTCAGGTTTCATTTAGCATTCTGCACTGGTCCGACAGCTTGGTTCACCGGGAAATTTTAAATGCAAATGTACTTCCAGGATGGCATGAGAGAACAAGATCAGAATTTTACCGCACATGACAGCTTCTTGCTCAGTTCCATTCAACTCCCTTTCCCTCCTTCCCATATAGACAGATCTGCTGCTACTAAAAAAAAAAAAAGGCTTGAACAAGAAAATCTTTATCTGCTGTTTTTTCCTACTGAAAGACTTTCCCTCACCCTTCTGTTTCAACAAATCCAAACCACAGCCTAAATAATGCTTTAAAATCACCTACAGCGCCAACTTGAGACACAGAGCAGGCAAGGAATAACTGTAGGGAATAACACCACTTAATTCAAATCACCATATACATTATTTTCCATCTTCCAAGGGCTAAATGTGTACTAATTAGTCACTCTTTTAGCCACATCCCAAACTCACCTAAGAAACACAAGGAAAGCAAACACCTCTGAGAGGAAATGCTGCTAGACAAGAATTTGCTATTTTCTTCTCTTCTTTGTGGGGCCACGGGTGTAGGCAGATAATCACCAGCTCTCATAATTCAACAGCTCCTTGAGAGGCTGTGACAGGGCTATTGGAGAGGCAAATTTTTCACTGACCTTTTTATGAAGGCACTTATTGAGCAGTGACATTGAACCACTTCAAATAGTATTAAATGATCAGAACCAGAGCGTGGTGGTTTTGCTTTTAGTGGTGGGGGATGGGACCACAAAATCACMAAGACAGCTCCTGTGAGAAAGTTCTGGAAGCTTTCTCCAGCAAAGGAGTCCTGAYCCCTGTGTTTTAGGGCCAATCTCTGATGGCTCTSAGGGTGATGGACAGGTTGCTGGCCAAGCCTGGGCAAAAGCGAAAGGCAAAAAAGGAGAAAAATCCCATGGCTCCAGCAGTGATAWTACTGTCTGTTCTCGAGAATAGAACCTCCACAGTCTGGAGTGGGATAAGAACTCTCCTCCTATGGTGATGGRAGACAACATCGTGATGGACAGAAAACTCTCATCCCYTGYTCCCCTTGCGGGTGGGACAATGGGAGRCGAACCAGGAGAGAAAACASGTGTCTTAAATAGTCCGGTTTTTTTCAYCTCCTCTTTTTTGCAACTTAAGTTTTTCAGCCTGTCTGACCAATACTGGAGTGTGAAAATCTTTCAATCCGTTATCTTATCTAAAAGCCAAAAATCTTTGGTGTTAATTGGGGTTTTGCTCTCCCCTCTGGGATRAGGGGGAAAACCTCGGGGGTGCTTTGATTTCGGACAGGGTCCAAACCATGACACAGATTTAATATTTCACCCCTGGTGCAAAGACGTGTGAGACCAGCCACTCATGCAAACCGAGGCTCAATCCCAACACAGCTCAGCAATTTGTGTTAAGCTCCATGGGATCAGGACACATTCTAGAAGTTAGTTCCTTTATGGTGCAGCAAAATAAGCTCAAATTTTCACTTTTAAGAACAGCTTTTTCATTTGCATTTGTGATCTATTATCAAACAGACAAGAGTGATATTTTAAAGGAAAATGAAGCAGTAGGCTAGGTCAGCAAGTACGAATGATCTGAGCCTCCTGCTCTGGACCAATCTACCTTGCTGCAGTTAACATCCATATTTAACTCTACTGTTGGAAGAGGCAACACTATTTTTAGCCATTAACTATTACTTTTGTTCAGAGACTAAATRCCACATACAGTTCTGCTACCGTATTTACAGAGCTTTTCATCAATCCTGATGGCTTCTATGTAACAAAAAAACAAAGTCATTTTACTGATGTGCTTTATTGTGGATAGATTTTACAATTGTCATTCTATCTGTTGTAAAAATTAAAAGGAAGTGTCTCCAGAATGGACGTGGTAGGAGTTATGACTGAACCCAAGGATCAGATTTTTTTAAGTGCTCAGGGTGTCATTTTCTTATGCACTGAAGATTGAGAATTTGGCTTACACAGACACATTTCCCTCACTGTCCCCCAACGCACTATGGATACAAAAGTTTGAAACCTGAAAAGCAAGATCCAAAAATCTAGCAGTTAACTCTGGACTCTAAATACAAGGTAGGAGTGTTCAAAATCTGGCTCTGTCTTGGGTGATGAGTTAAATACGTCTGGAAATTCCTCACACACTGTCTGCTCTGGAAAGTCTTTTTTACTGCATTCCACTGGGACTGTGTCTTAATTCCATATTCTTTCCAGAGCTTTCCCTTAATTAGATTATTAATAAGAAACAGAGAGAGGAAGCATTGAGTCACTCAATGATGTATACTACAGATACTAAAACCCTGTCAATACATGTTTCATTCATAGTAAGCCACATATCACTCAGACTACCACAGAGTAACTAGATTTACAAAGTGTATTCACCTGACTTCCAGAACAAAGCTTTAGCTCTGCTTTGGCTTTGGCAGAAGTTACAGACAGAGAATAGCTCTGCCACTCTGTACCACAGCTCTACATCCAACTAGATCCTAGATGACCAGATGGGTCCATTACTCTAGAGCTGGTGAACTATTCCTGTAAAATTGTATGAAAGCTGCCTAATCACCACCTCATAGTAATCTTTTCCTAAAAGCTAACAGRTGCAGAGATGGAAGAAATGATAAGYATTTCTTTTAAATGAAGCAACAAAATTTAGCTTTAGACCCATCTTTTCATTATTCGTCAACGTGCTAGCAAACACAAAATCTGACCGTTGGCTGCACTTTACYATGACATGGTTACAAATATACTAGCTGAAAATTCTAAGAAATTAGGAAAGCTTAACAATTTCCTTTAACCTTTTTTTTAAGGCTGTTCTCTCTAGTTGCTTCTGCAATATCAAAAACACAGGCACACATCCAGCTTAATGCATTCCTGAAGCCAATGAAGACACCCGACCTTTACCAAATATCACTTACGAGCTGCCAAAATCAACAGCGACCGCACACACACTCACACACACTGAAAGGGACAAGCCCATCTCCTGCAGGAGCCATCGGAGACTATGCACTTCAGGATGGAAACAWGCAAAATCACTCCGCAAAAAAAATATTTCACGCATGCACGGAGGTCTTACTTGCGTGAATAAAGCTTACAGCAGCCAGCCCACAGGAATTACATTTACAGCCAACTCCAGTTACCTGAGATCGCTATTCCAGACTGCAAGAGAAGGAGAACACTGAATATTCACGCAGGGAGCAGAAGCCGCGAGCCCGAGTTGCAGCGTTCTCAGGGACCATCCGAACGATGCCAGGGCTGCGTCTCATCTCACCGCAGCTCACAGCCACGAACAAAGCCGGGAGCCCCCGCRCCCACCGCTGCCACCGAGCGCCTCCGACCTTCCTGCGCCGCCCGGCGCGGGGCTGCTCTGAGGCGCTCCCCGAGCCCCCGGCGCCGCWCCCCGCGCTGGAGGCCGGGCACGAACCCATTCTCCCTTCACCCGGCTCTCCGGGGCGAGCCCCGGGCATGGCCCAGCTCCCCCGACCCCCACTCACCGCGCACGCCGCCGAGGGAAGAGCTGAGCTGAGGCGAGGCCCGGCCCGGGAGGGTCGCGGTGCTGAGGGGCCGCAGATGCTCCTCAGCTGTGGCCGGGCAGCCGCCGCCTCACAATCAATGCGCCGCCACGGCAGCCGCGCCGGCGGGGCGGGGACGGGCGGGCCGGGGGACGGCCCCGCTCCGCTGGGAGGGGCGGCAGCGAGGAAAACGGCTATAAAGCAGAAACTCAGAATGCCACCCAAACCGGGTGTAAAGGAGAAACTCAGAAGGGTCGGGTTCAGTCAACCCGGGTATAAACGAGAAACTCAGAACGGCCCGGCCCACCCAACCCGGGTGGGACTTGCGGGATTTTAGGTACACCCTGCAGGTATTTTAACCAAAGGAAGTTTTATCAAATCCATTCCATCTTGAGTTTCAGCCACATTAAATCATGGTTTGGTTGGGGTGTCTGGAAGGCACTGGTTTTACACCAGCTACAATTGTCCTGCTTGAGGAAATGACAGTGCCAAGAAGCAAGTTGAAATGACAGCTATGTTTGCATGTTAATGTGACTATATCACAGTACTGATACCTATATAGTTTAAGTCAAAGGTACAAGATGCTTATAAGGCCTATTGATGGAAAACTTTATATACAATATAATAGCTTTTTATATATTATCAATATACAATGTAATAGCTTTTCATATATTATCAATAATAGCCTTTTCATATATTGTTGTGAGTTTTCATATAGTGTGTTAGCAGCATGCAGTGAATCAGCTAAATATAACCATGGTTACTCATACAGTGTACCAGCTGGATGTAGTTAAGCCAGTTGCTTAATGCTTGGACAAGTTGAATCGCCAGGGAGATTATTTCAAAAAAGTAGATAACTATASTGCACAAGTGGAAAGTAGGTGCTATATTAAGGAAYGGTAGAATGCACTAATGAGAACTTGGCAGATGTATAAGACAATTAGCTGGAAAATGGAACATGAAGACCTTGAAGACTAGGAAAAAACATGGAACATCATAACTGTGCGTGCTCTGAGGATGAAGTTGAGAAGTCCACAAGYGACGAGGAGTATGGTCTCTCATTAGAGGGAGACCCCCACGATCACTGAATTGAGGATGAYGCAGGCACACTTGCAGAACTGTGATATCATGTATTTCTGTCCCATATATAGTGATGGGTGTAGTGACGGTGATGTTGTTAAGCAATACTTTCTGTATAAATAAGTGACAAATTTAAGTGAGGGTAGGTGAGTTAGGTGGAGAGATCCCCCTCATCTCCAGCGTTGCAATAAACRAGGCCAGATTTACTTTATTGCACASAGTTTTGTTGTTTATGTGCACACTTGTTCTACTTGTCCCTACTGGTACATCTCCTCAAATGACACACGGGATTGTTGTCAGGGAAGCTGAGGAAGGGAAGTCAAGAGGAGCCAGAATCACATTTTAAATCATATTTTAAATAGGGCTTGTAGAGCAAAGGTACAGTCACAGAGAGTAGAAAAGGGAGCCTACCGACACAACCAAGGCAGAAGGAAGTGACTAAATAACTTTCTTAGCTGCAGGACAACTGAAATAAAAATCTCTAACTTCTGGTTCTTAATGGAGCTGCAGGCCTTTGGTTTCCTCCATAGCCTGAATAGCTTAGAAGTTGGATGCTTGTCTCAGGCTTCTTCCCTTCTYCTAGTCACAAAGTAATTACCACTTTTGCATGGAAGCCTCCCTATTTCTTGGCTAGTGAAATTGTTCACTATAAAAGTCTGGCTTTTTCATCTGAAAAGGAAAAATTYCTTATTAAGGATGCCTTAAGGTAACTCTGTTTTACTTTTCTTTTTATGTGCTTGCTGGTTTTTGCTATGAGCCAAAGATAATACAAGTATTGAGGAATGGAGTGGGATTTTGATTTGCAACATAAGGGATAATAATTTTTTTTTTCTGTAGTGTCTTTTATCCAAGAATACCAAATGCTTAACTAATTTAATTAATTGGCTCTGACATAGCATCTAGCTGAGATGCTGRTAACTATTTTGCAAAATAGCTGCAATAGCTAAAATACCAAAATGCTACCTTTCTCCAACAGCAAATACAAATCTTATGTATTTGAGKTTTAATAGTTTTTTGAGTTTAAGCTACTGGCCTCTACTGGCTACGTAAAGCAATGAGGCATCAGCACAGACACCTTTGAACAATTCACWGGGAGGAAGAGGAGCAATAATGGAAGATTGAGAAAATTCCAGCTGTTCATGAGCATTACCTCCTTCAAGAAACAGCTGGAGATTTGGAAGCTGTACAAAGCAGAATGTCAKTAGGTAGCTTAATACTCCATCGAGATCCAAGGTCTGCAGGTTTTMTATTTTCAAAAGGTTTTATATTTTCATATCCACGTGGATAAGTACATACATAGATAGGAATGTCGCATTCCTGCCTAAAGGACAACTTTGCCATCATGAGCATCTCAGCTCCCGAGTCAAAACATCTGGACATTTGCAAAGAACAGCTCTGTGTGAGACAAACATCCTTGATCATGGAGCAAGGTATAGTTATTGAGGCATTTTTTTCTTGCTGATATCCTGAGCACAGACAGTTCAAAGACATTTAAAAGAGTGAAATGCTTATCAGTACAGAACTATGAACAACCTATGCAAACAACTGAAGGAAAGGCATGTGTGTCATCAGAAATGCTGCCWGTGTTATTCAGTTCTTTTGGAGAAGGTGTTTGCTCCAGTATGGCCATTATCCAGCAGTCAAAACATACAAGATTACAAGTATAGCTTTTCTGCTCTTATCCTAATTGGGTTTTTCAACCTCCTTTTAGCTTTGCAATTGAAATATCTTCCAAGTGACTCTGCAGTCTCCTACATGCTGAATGTAAACCYACCTGGCAGGAGGATGGCTTTTGTGTTTGTATCTTTGGGTGGAACCCTGAAAATCAGAGACACTTGGGAGCACCCAAGAAAAGAAGTGAAAGGCACTGATTAAAAAAGCTGCCCTCGAGGAGCAGCTGAAATTTTGCTGCCTGGAGCACCCAAGAAAAATTAGGTAGAAAAGCACCCCAAAAGCAACAGGCGGAGATGAATGAGGTGGGTGGGTGCAGATTTGGGTATTTGCTGGCTCCAACCTACTCCCATGGTGGGAATCCTGCACCTACTCCTCAGGCATATATTGTACCTGCCATTCACACAAAAACAAGGTGTGTTCTAAAGACTTGTTAGAGCTTTTTTCCTCTGCACTAGAGATGTTATCTATGCCACATGCTGCTCTAATAAATACCTTTGTTTAATGAATAATATGTTGGGGAAGATTCCATGATGCAGAAGACTGATTGGAACAGCTACAAATCCACTGAAGTGTTTCAAAGTGATCAGTCTAACATTTTTCAGTTCAGCTGGGCACTATTAACAGGGTTTTTATCTGTGGGAAGTACCTATTTTCCCTTTACTGTGGCTCTTTCTCACAGTGCATGACAGTTCCTGCTCCAAGAAGTGCCAGTGGAACAGATGGACAGGGGAAAAGCCATGCCAGGAAAGGTTCACACACTTAATGTGACCACTTCTCCAGTCACTTGCAGTGCTCTCTACCCCCCAGGACAGCGGAAAGCATAAYCCACCACCAAATATTGAGAAGAAACATTTTGGGGTGGCAGTTTCTCAATGTTTGAGGTGTACTGTACCATGATGGAGGAGACAATTGTCAACTGCTGTGCAGAGATCGAGGCCCTCAGAACAGATCTGCAGAGACCAGGCACAAAGACCAGGAAAATCATCTTGTCTCTATGGTCAGCTGATGATTCAGTCCCAGGATTTTCCGACAGGTTTGGTAACACGAGAACAAAATGTCATTTACTGCTAAAAATTACTGTCAGACAGGTCAGATTGCTAATTCATTTCATGAWAACCACCGGACTGTGTGATGGAATTCCAGACTAGACCTAGCTTTTATACAAATCTCTTGACCTTTTCTTTCACAGGGAGCTGCCCAAAGACAAGCCTGAAGATGTTCAAATTTAGTCTTCATTCCATCAAAAACCTGACTTGTTGAGTTTTCAGATCAGATGATGCCAAGTGTCTTGGAGTCACTTGGACAGAGGAATAATTTCATACATTTATAAACAAATCTCTCCCTGTCCATTGTATCCTAGAAAAGCAGACCATTGCTCTTAAGCTCTCTTTTAGGGGTTTTGGTTGCAGCTATGCACACTCAGCTCTCTAAGACATTACCTCTTACACAAGCAGGGTTTGGAGTRTGCTCACAGCTTTGCTCAGCAGCGTTTCATTTCCTCACTGTGCTGCAAATCACTGCCTTGCTGCTGCTTCCTCTTTTCCACCCCAGGATCCAACTCTCTGTCTCCCCCGACCATATTCAATTGCCCCCRAAGGGAAGGAGCATCCCTTCTTTTGTCAGAGACCTCTTTACCCACCTACTCTCTTCTTACAGAGAGATAATCTGCAAAGCAAAGGCAATCAAAATAAATAGTGTCTGTCACACAGAACTGTCACTCTCAGTCAGCAGATGGCAATAATATGTGTTACTCTCTGATCACACATGATCCAATGATGATTTGACTTTCCAGCCTTTGCTTGTGGCAGCTTCCAGGAGCAGCACCAGCACCAAGAAACTCACTTTCCAGCCTCAGTAATACCCACAGGCAGGMCAGAGGGGTGTGTGCAGAGGGGGATAAGCCATCAAGGTTACAGGGCAGGAGCAACTGATAYCCTACAGATGAAGATAAGAAGAGAGGACATCATCAGATCCTCCCACAAGCTAGACTTGATGCATCTGAAGAGGATTTTTCAGCATCCCAAACTTGGAAAAAGGGCAAGTCTAAAGAAAACCATTTGCTTTGACAGTATTTTAGGGGTGGTGGGTGTTAGATTCAGAGTGTTGAGACATTGAATTCGTCAAAAGATTGGCAAGATGCTTCAGCCAAAAAGCCCCAACAAATATCTGTTGGGAACAGTCTTCTTTTTCAGATCTGATGGAAGATATCAAAGGAGTCACCTTTAAAATAGTATCACCATACCTGCTGCCACTAAATGTTCTGGGAGAGTGATATAAAACTAAAAMAAGACTTTTTCTATTAGATCTTATTTTCTGTCACAGTGGGCATCAGTGAAGGCTGCAG